GCTTATCCATGCTTTGTATAGTCGACTTGACTCGCAGGGTATGTGTTAGGTCGTCCACTTCATCCGGGACACAGCCCACGAAGGCCTCCTTGGCCTTTGCCTCTGTGGCCAAAGCTGCACCATAATACGCCGCTGCACAAACCTGCACCGCTGCACAACCCGTGCGATGCCACCCGCGGGCATCATACGACCCGCTCAGTTCTTTGAGGTCCTCTGACTCACTGAGGATTCAACAACTCGCTTCTGCCCCGATGCGGTCATCCCAGTCCTACCAAATCACCTCCTATGACATCTGACCCAATCAAGTTCGCTTCTACACTCTTCTGCGCTCACGCCGCGAAAAAGCACCACATACACCGCACATACACCGCCCACGCACGTGAGGCATTCCACGCCCACCGCGCCGTGCCGGAGCAAAGCAAGATGATGCGAGGGCCGAGAGCATCGGCCAGGCGGCCACCGGCCAAGGTCCCCAGAATGGCCAAGGCGGCCAAAGCCTTCGGCCACGGAGCTTGCACACGGGAGCCGGCGCGCGCGCGCGCGTGCGCGAGGGCCACTCGATGGAGTTCAGGGAGCGTTCAAATATGTTTGGGGGAGAGATGTTCAAGTGCGAAGGGATGTGTTAGGGAGTGCGGAAAGAAAACTATTTGGTCAAGAAATGAGGCGAAAGGTCTATATAGTTTTGCTTGGCGATCTTTGGTTTGCCACGGGGAGTCGGTCAGAAATCCAAGCCTTAGAAATCTCAAGTGAAGAATGCACCTCAAGCAACGGAAAAGGGGTTCTGATGACCAAACATATCAATTTCCAAAAGCAAATGCTCTCCTGGCTTGCACTCGGACCACTGATGCCGAATTCTAGGGAACTGAATAATAGAACAGCCATTGACCAAAATGCAAAAGGTTCTGGGCTGGTGCTCAACATCAACGAAATGCGCAAGCCCTTCAGGGGTACTATCTAGATGCCTCGACAAAGGTCAGCAATCCCGCAGCAATTTTGCTTGTATCGCACATTATCGCACATTCCTTTCTCAAGCAACATGTCACCCCCTCATCCCAAACCTCACCCTCATCTGATCATCTCCCACCTCATTCCCTCATCCCCTCACCTCTCAAGACCTGCTCCCCCACGTCCCAAGCGCCGTCCCTCCAACCGTCCCCGGAAGCAACGAAGCCCCGGCCGTCCGGCTCGGCCATGGGCCGGCGAAGCCGCTTAGCCGTCCGGCTCCGGCGACCGCCCACCGAGGCACTGAGAAGAGCTGCCCCACTTCCGCCGGCGCGGCATCGAAGGTCTCCCGCGCCACCGCTGGCAGCAGCGAGATCCTGGGCGGACGAGGCGAGAGTGAAGTGGTGAGACGGAGGAGGAAGTCCTTCCAAGCTGCATGGATGTCGGAAAGGGAAAAAAAAAAGGGTGATAACTTCCCCCCCCATTTGCATGTGAAACACCTTCTCATATATCGGCGGGTTTATTCATCAAGATCCTCCATTGGGCACGAAAACATGGATTTCGTCCCACCGACAATGACTGGTTACGACCGGTTACAGGGCCACCACTGTCCCTTTTTTGTGATGCTTCGTCCAAGGCGAAGAAGGCCTTACAGAGACTTGATCCATCTCTCTGCCTCTCGGGACCCTGTTGGGCTTGCCAACGGGACCCTGTTGGGCTTGCCAAAGCTCCCATCTCCAATCTCATCTACAGGGTGGACCAAGGCTTGTATGAAGCTCCACCCAAAGAAGCGAGCTTTCTTCACTTCTGGGCGGAAACCTTGGTAAAAATTCCCTACATCCTGCCACCCAAACCATTCCCTGAGATCCATCGTCGCGCTTTCGGCAGATTCAACTAGGGATCTTGCAGGCCGTCCCTGCATAGAAGGCCACGGAGATCGCCGCCAGCGCCTGGCGAAAGCGCTTATAAGTCATCGAGCACGAGGTCATTCTGAGCCCTCTTGGACGGATCCTTTTCATGCAAAGACCCGGTTGACCAAGGTGAACCCAAAGACCACACGAGCCGCAGGATCCGATCAAACCGTCCACCAAAGCAATGGTTGCAGACCGGGTCGCAACGGATTAGACCGGGTCCAACGGAACCAATGCTGACCTTGTGACCGAGTGAATCATGGGTGAATACACCAGCAGAGGTTGAAGGAGCGGGCCATAGGACCCGGAACACCTGGGAAAAACCCCAACTGGGATAGCCGAACAGTCGGGTTCTGACCCACCTCTGCTGGCTATCCAAAGGGGGATCAATAACATATCAATACGATGAATCCTCCGTCTTCATCGCAGGTTCCAAAGCCCCAAAGGATCGGGTGCGGCCCGGGGGCCCCATGGAGGTCCTGGAACCAGGACCGATTTCGCAAGCCACGGGGGACGGTCTGGCTGCTTTCGCCCCACCACGAATAGGGACCTCCATTGTTGGACACCCCTCCACTAAGGTTCAGGTATATATATATATGTGGAGTAAAGGAAGTTTCCTTTCAGTTCCCTTAAAGACCATTCTTTCTATAGTCTTTGACTTGCAGGGTATATATAGATATCCTTTCCTGAATACATATTTCAATGTGTGCGACCGCTTCTGTTTTTTCATGCCTTGCCGGCTGGACAGCCGCCGCCCATCATCAACAAACCCAACGTCTGACACCAGCCTGTTGCTCTGGAGCTTTGAGTAACTCCTGGAAGGAGGATGTGGCCTCAGCTCAAACATCAAGCTGATCGAAGCTGTGGTAGGAGCGAGCTTGGGAATCTGGCTGAATCTCTTCGGCTGCCTGTGAAATTCTATGATACAGCTGTGTCATCCGCAAAGCAATCATGTACCCCTCTCCCTCTTCGCTCCCTTCTCTTCAACCCGCCACGCTCGCCTCTTTGGCGCCCGAGGGGTCGGTAGGTCTGCGCAGCTCGGGCAGAAAGCTATAGCCCGTGGCGCAGGTCGCTGCGCCGAAGGCCACCACGAAGAAGATGGACCGGAGCCCGAATTCGCCTCGTCGAGCGGTCGGGCGCTCCGAACTCGGAGGCGTGCGATTGGGCGAGTGGAGTTCGGAGCTGGAGCCCGGGGGCATAGATCTCGGTGGGGTCAGAACATCATAGGGGATGAGATAGGATGATATATGTACTGATAGCAGTCCACACTCAAGGAAGAAACATCCATCTTGGCTGAACTGTGAGTCTATGACAGCATTGACAGGGAGAGCCCACCTTTGGTGTCCATCGTCTTTCCTGCACATGTTGTTTCAACATGTTTCAAAACATGCCATCCAATTCTCTGAGAGAGTGGACAACCTTCCCCACTCCCCCTCCCTTGGCCTACCCAAGCCAGCCCTCTGAACCCCCCACGCCCCGCGCTGGCCGCGGACTCGCCTACCAGCCATCCACCAACAGCGGGTCCCAGAACGAAAGCGCAGGCGATGACGGCGTTTTGCACGCCCAAGAACGAGGCGCGTGTCTCAGGTCGAGCCTCC